GACCGTTGGGAGCGGGGTGTGTGGCCTTATGACACATTTCCGGTGATGTCAGGGGGTGTGGCCTTATGACACACTTCCGGTGATATCAGGGGGTGTGGCATATGCTAATGAGTTATGCTAATGAGTTCCCCTAGCTCTTTTTCTATGAAATGACCCCTGAGTTTATAAATATTTACAAGAAAATATACATATACAAAATTAAATATACATTAGAGTCTTATGTTTCACTCTGTCTCAATCCACTCATACAGTCCTGACCATCTTTTTTCAAAAACCTTTTCATCCTTTCCGCATAATAATACATTCAGTTTATCAACTTCTGCTACATTCAATAGTTTATATATTAATTCTTCTCTTTGAGGTATTTTATCTGATTTCCAATATTTAGCCCAAAGGATTCTTGCTGCCGTCAAAATATATATCATCACATATGATTTGTTATAAGTCATACTCCTTTGGGGTCATATTGAGCAAGTAAATTTTAGGATTAAGTGGCAAATCTACAAATACTACTTCTCTTATTATTTTCTGAATTTTCTTCCAGTATTTTAAAATTTTTACACATCTCCACCACATATGAAAAAAAGAGCCGACATTGACTTTACATTTCCAACAATTACTTGAATAGTTTCTTATCTTGCTGAAAACGTCAGCGAATCTGATACCCTCCCATTGAACATGACGACGGCTGGGCTCGTGTATCCAGCCTTCTCTCCGTTCTCGTGACCTGTGTTCCCTCTAAGCCGAGTTAGTGTGAGCTAGCTCACAGTTGTTTAGCCTCCGGCTCACCCATTTTTGCCTCAGCTCAGGAAGGGAGGGCTCCAGAGCAAACTGATTTATGCGGCAGCCAAATCGCTCACTCACAGCTCTAATGCCAGTCGCTCATAAAATAGAATTTTTGCTCACAAGACTCCACAGCTCAGAGGGAACATTGCTTGGGACCCAGCTCTTCCTTCCCCGCACTCCACCCCGGGGAAGGATGACGCTGTCGCAGTCTTCCTATTCCTGAGCTTCCTAGAGGTAGCTGGCTGGCCACAGTGTGAACAGAGTGCTGGACTAAAGGGGCCTCACGCCTGATCCGGCATGGCTCTTCTTGCACTCTTATGGACAGGGGAAGATGCCTTCTACCAGGTCAGAGTCTTGGTCTACCCAGGTCAGGCCTGTCTCCCCTGACTGGCAAGGCCTCTCCAGGGTCCCTGGTGCAGCTCCGGCACATGACTTACTCTCTGGTCCTTTTAGCTGGAGAAGAGTGTTCCCTCTAAGCTGAGTTAGTGTGAGCTGGCTCACAGTTTTTTTACCCTCCGGCTCACACATTTTTGCCTCAGCTCAGGAAGGGATGGGGCTCCAGAGCAAACTGATTGATGCGGCAGCCAAATCGCTCGCTCACAGCTCTAATGCCAGCAGCTCATAAAAATAGAATTTTTGCTCGCAAGACTCCACAGCTGAGAGGGAGTATTGCTGGGGACGGAACCCGGGGCTGTCTGCAGGCCAAGCAGAGGCTCAGCCACCAAATAGCTCCTCCCCTCAAATCTTCTTACAAGGCTGCAAAGCCTGAGTCGTCCTTGACGCTCCCCTTTCCTCCCGTGACAGCCAACCTGTCACCAAAATTCTCCCTTATCACCATTAAGGGAGCCAGTTTGGTGTAGTGGTTAAGTCCGCGGACTCTAATCTGCGATTCTAATCTGGGAGAACCGGGTTTGATTCCCCACTCCTCCACTCGCACCTGCTGGATGACCTTGGGCAAGCCGTACTTCTCTCAGAGCTGTTCTTGAAAAAGAGCAGTTTCTGTCAGAGCTCTCTCAGCCCCACCCACCTCACAGGGTGTCTGTCTGTTGTGGGGAGGGGAAGGGAAAGGAGTTTGTCAGCCGCTCTGAGACTCCCTTGGGTAGTGAAGGGCAAGGGGTATGAATCCAATCTCTTCTTCTTCTTCTTTATCAAGTTTTCATCCCTTTTTTGCTCAAACCCCTGGGCTGTTGCCTGCAGAACTGGACCATCCCCCTGGCTAGAGCTGCAGCAGTCTGACCTCAGAGCATCTCTCCCCCCCCCTTCACTTACTCTCCCTCCCCATCCAGGAACTGGCAAGTGACAGAACAAGAGTTGCCCTTTAAGTGTGATCAGATCAGCCCACAGCAGAGCAGTGGCAGTTTATGATACCACATTACAAGGGGATATTCAGAGAGAAAGAGAAAGAATCATAGACTGTTAAGAGTTGGAAGGGACCTTGCAGGTCATCAAGTCCAACCCCCTGCACTCTGCAGGAGCAGAGCCGAAAGACAGCCTGACAGCATACCCGAAAGATGGTCATCCAGCCTCCGCTTGAAAACGTCCAGCAAAGGAGCATCCACCACCTCCCGAGGCAGTCCGTTCCACTGCTCAACCACCCTTACAGTTAGGAAGTCTCCCCTGATATTTAGCCGGTAACGACTCCCTTGTAATTCCCACCCATTAGATCTAGTCTTGCAATCCGGAGCAAGAGAGAACAGATCTACTTGGAAGACTGCAATCATGTCCCCTCTAAGCCTTTTCTTTCCCAGGCTAAACAGACCCAACTCTTTCAGCCTTTCCTCATAAGACTTGGATTCCAGCCCTCTCACCATCCTGGTTGCCCTCTTCTGGACACGCTCGAGCTTGTCAACCTCCTTCCTAATACGTGGTGCCCAAAACTGGACACAGTCCTCCAGGTGAGGCCTGACCATAGCAGAATAGAGAGGAACGACCACCTCCCGTGATCTGGAGACAAGGCTTCTGTGAATGCACCCTAAGAAGGGGGGGAGGGGGGAACAGTTTTATCATAATCTATATAAAGTTATCCTGTTTATATTCAACACCCCGGCAAAGCATGAAAAGGGCAGCACCTCCATTTTACAGAGTGGGATTATCAAAGCTCAACAGTAACGATTTGCTCCAAGCCATTCAGGGAATCTACGGCTAAGCAAGGACTGGAACTCTCGGAGGCCATTGTCTACAATGCACTGAAGCCGGCCCTCTGGTTTCCAGTCCTGCCGCCCGGTAATCTACATGAAAGCAGACTCGTGTTCCATTGACGCAGCACCCGGGCACGCGACAGAGCAGAGGCAAAGGCTTTCGATTGTGCTGAGGGTGTACTGTGATCCGCACAGAAGATGGTTACCCGGAGGAACTCACCACACAAAGACGTACAGCCCTTTCTGCAAGGCACAAAGAACCCTCCTGAAAACTGGTTAACCCCCCCCCCCCCCCCCCCAAGTTAACCGGGCACTTCCGCTTCTGTTAATTAAAATGCAAAAATCACTTCTGGGGTCCTGCTTTAATAAGACACCTGAGCGTCTCTCTCTCTCTCCTCGACTCTTACCTATTGCTCGGAAGAGAATCTGGGACGGCCGTGGCACTATTGGTAGCCGACCCGGCTCGCGTATTGACCTGCGGGCAGGAAAAGAATCTTTATCAGTTGTTTCTATGCAGAGGATACAGTTCTAATTAACCTGTAATTTGCCACGAATTTCCTATTTCACTGGGAAGGTTAATTAGCTGGTTGCCCAGGGTTGAAATCCGGCCTCTACGTAGGGTACCACATTGTGTCGCTGAGAAATTGTGTTTTTCTTCTTCTTCTTTTTTTGTAAATTCACTCTGCATTTGAAATGCTTGATTAAGTAATACAATCAAGAGGAGGCAGACAAGAAGATCTTTGTTCAGCTCCTATTAAATACACCTCTCCTCCTCCCCACAACCTTTTTGCGCTATGATATCATTATACGTGTCTCGGTGCATCAGAACGAATTAAAAAAGACCTGCACTGCAAGCAGCATGTCTTGCTGGTCTCTAAGGACTCGAAGCTATCGCAGACCAACAGGGCTGCCCTCGGAACGAACGCCATGTTCTTTTCTCGCCAGGAACGTGGTTCCTGCTCAATTTCCCTTCTTTGAAGGTGTCATGCAGAGCAGTCGCATCAGGATGGCTGGTGTCCTCTATTTCTTATGTTTATTTAAGGTATTTATTAGCAGAGGCAAGAAAGGAAGAAATTGCATTCCTTAATGCCGGCAGCATTAGCTAGTCGGACACACAGTCGATATTACAGAGAAGGAATATTTCCTCCACAATGTGTGTGGGTTTGTTGTTGTTTTTTTAAAAAAAAACAATCTGCTTGTCAGAATGCAGAAAGTACAGTTTTCTTTGACATTTCAATAAGTGGAACACAGTATTGCAAATCCATCTAAGTTTACTGAAACAATTATTGAAATTCCTACCTTCAGGCCATGTATGTTCCGTTTCCCAGGGGGCTTGCAGGCTGAAACAGTAATTGACTCAGTTGTACAACACATCAGGGCCATTTAGAAATTTGCTCAAAATGAAATCCTTCTCTCTTCCCCCCCCCCCCCCCCACAACAGTAGGTTAGTACCAAAATTAGCAGAGAGAAATGATTGAAAAGTGGCTCTTAAGACCCAAAGTGGGAATTACAAAACAGGTTTCCTGGACCTGCAGGAGAGAGCATTTTTAAAGGGAAAATGGCAGCTGATGTAAATTCTAATTTTGGCTTCCAGTACATTAAAATCAAGATAACAATGAGCTGGGATGTACACTATTGCTCTAAATCCAGCAACTTCTGGTGTTTTTCTGAGAGATCAGCTTGATTTATTTTTTTTCGGGAGATACTGCATTTGGGAGAGATGAACAAACGGGGCCATCAAGATTCCAGGTTATCGCATATCTTGCAGCTGGGATGAAGCGTTGGTACGCCACAACGTCTACACGTTTTGTTTCATGTCTCCAACATGGCAAACTGAAAGCTAGAGACCGAACGTATTAATTTTATCCTCGCAACAACTCTTCTGAGAGCCAGTTTGGGGCTCTTTTTGTAGCAGGTACTCATTTGCATATTAAGCACCACACCCCTAATGTAGCCAATCCTCCAAGAGCTTACAGTAGCTCCTGTAAGAAGAGCTCTGTAAGCTCTTGGAGGATTGGCTATATTAAGGGTGTGTGGCCTAATATGCAAAGGAGTTCCTGCTACAAAAAGAGCCCTAAGTGCGCAGACTCCAATCTGGGAGAACCGGGTTTGATTCCCCACTCCTCCACTTGCACCTGGCTGGATGACCTTGGGAAAGCCATAATTCTGGCACAGCTGTTCTTGAAAAAGAGCCGTTTTTGTCAAGAGCTCTCTCGGCCCCCCTTACCTCACAGGGTATCTGTTGTGGGGAGGGGAAGGGAAAGGAGTTTGTAAGCCGCTCTGAGACTCCTTTGGGTAGTGAAGGGCGGGGGGTATAAATCCAATCTCCTCTTCCTCCTCCTCTGGTTGTAGCTTACGTGGCTTAGGCTCAGATGGCGAGCCTGGCCCAGGGTCACCCAGCAAGCGTCCACGGCAGAGATTCGAACCTGGCTGCCCCAGACCCTATCCTGACACTCTAACCTCTCCACCACCCTGGCTCTCTTGAACGCCTCAGGACACCAAGAAGCAGATCCCTTAAAGCACAAACAAGGATGATCCCCCTCGGTTATTTATACAAAACTCCTGACGGGTTGCTAAGACATCATGACAGATTTCCTTAAAGGCTCACGGACTCTGCGCCGAATCCGTTGCCCCCCTCTACGCCCGTAGATACGCTTTTGTCAAACGTTAAAGCCACAAAAGCTTCCAGCTACACGTTACGGACAGTTCCCATTTTAAAACTACAGTGCCCGACAAATGGTATGTTAAAGGGCCCGTCAATTTTGATTGATTGTCTGGGGAAGGACGAATTTGATTCCCCCCCCCCACTCCTCCCTCCCTCAGAAATACATGGATTCCGTTCCTGCTCTTGACAGCAGGAAACAAAGCTATTTATTAGTCAGAAGGACACAGACAATAATTATTAAATACAAGAGTCAGGATAGATCCGTGCTGTTTATGTTACCTTAAGCGCTGCCATCCTATTCGTAAACAAGAATTCCTAATCTGCCGGTTTGAGGGTAGAAGGCGGGTAAGGAAATCTAGGAGTAGCTAAGGAAAATGGACTCAGGGGCCCTAATTTAGGGAGGAGGAGGGGAGCAAGAATGAGTATTCACACCTTTAATGAACAGCGTCCATACCTAATTAGGAAAATCTAAAGCACAAAACTGAGTTATTCCAGCACTCTATGGTTATCGTGGGATCCTGAACTCCTGAAGACCACAACAGGCAGTAACGGAAAAGACAGGTGCCAGGCAATGCTCCCTCTAAGCTGTGGAGTCTAGTGAGCAAAAATTCTACTTTGTGAGCTACCGGCATTGTAAGCGAGTGACTTGGCTGCTGCATCAATCAGTTTGCTCTGGAGCCCCATCCTTCCTGAGCAAAGACAAGGATGTGTGAGCCGGAGGCTAAAAAACTGTGAGCCAGCTCACACTCACTCGGCTTAGAGGGAACACTGGTGCCAGGCTCTGAGGTGTTCAAATTGTTCTGGCCAGGGCTCTTTTTGTAGAAAAAGCCCAGCAGGAACTCATTAGCATAATAGGCCACACCCAACAGCAGAAACTCATTGGCATATTAGGCCACACCCCTGACAGAACAGCTCATTAGCACATTAGGCTTCACCCCCATGTTACCAGAAGTGTGGTTATCCAGCCACACCCACCTTTTGCTTGCTATTCTGTTTACCTTGTTTGTTGTCAAAACCCAGGGCTTTTTTTGTAGCAGGAACTCATTTGCATGTTAGGCCACACACCCCTAATGTAGCCAATCCTAATGAGTTTCTGCTGTTGGGTGTGGCCTATTATGCTAATTAGTTCCTGCTGGGCGTGGCCAACTTGGGAGCCAGCCGGAACTCCGTTCCTGTGCGTTCCTGCCCAAAAATAGCCCTGGTGGCCCTCTCGGTGTTCTCCCCCCATTAAGCAAAAATAAAGCAGATGTGTCTCTAAGGTGCTACAGGGCCTGACCAACAGCCTGAACTAGTAGATTTGCCAGACCCCTGGTCAGTGCAGGGGTTCCCCTGATTTGGGGGGGGAGGCTCCAATCTGCCGCTGGCCAACCGGCTGGCAGGGGAAACCCCACCCCAAACAGCCCCCGTCCACGTCAACGTGATCAGTGTGATGACATCACTTGGAAGCAACATCATCACACCGGACACGTCAATGCTCTAGGATTTTGACCGAAACTCTAAGGCAGGGGTGCTGAACTCATTCGTTATGAGGGCTGGATCTGACATAAATGAGACCTTGTTCTCATTCCGCAGGGCCTGCAGGGCCTGCAAGACGGAGCTCTTCCGCCAGGCTTTTGAGTAGGAGCCGCTGCCGCCACCATCACCACCACCGTGCAACTGCAGAGCAGTTCCGCGGGTGGGGCTGATTAGCCATCCTGAACATCTCGGCCCATGGCATCTCCCCCCTTTTTTGATCTCACTGTGATATACAATATCTACGATGACGCAGCAGCAGCAGAACTGGAAGAAGAAGCAGAAGACAGCCAGTTCCACTGCGGGCCTGAGAGAAGCCCTCTGGGGGCCTCATCCGGCCCCCAGGCTGCCTGTTTGACACCCCTGCTCTACGGTGACAAAGGGGTATGTGTGTGTCATGTGTCATCAGGTCTCTTCCAACCTATGGCGACCCTATGAATGAATGTCCCCCAAAAGGTCCTATCGTTAATAGCCTTGCTTAGGTCTTGCAAACTGTGGCTTCCTTGGTGGAGTCAGTCCATCTATTTTCCTGCTGCCTTCAACTTCTCCTAGCATTACGTTTTTCCCCACTGAGTCTCGCCTTCTCCTAAAAAAGCAGACCAACTGCTATCCAAGTCTGCGCTTCCAAAAACGCACTCTCTCTCTCAGGATCTGCATTCGGAGAGCACCCGCGAGCGTTTAGAAAAGCTGTCGTGTTGCGAGATGTCTGCCGGAATCCGCTGGAATCCCGTCCTCGCCTTGACAGGAATGAGACAAGGACGCCATGGATCCTCCTAAACCCTAGTGCTCTTCCACGCAAACGATCTCTAAACTGCCAGCACCATCAGCCTCCTTCAGAGACGTTGGCGCGTGTTACAGATTCTGTTGCTTAATTGCCCAATTCCAACTTCAGAGAGTTGTTAAGTAATGAAAAGTCTACGGTGTTTTAATTAGGGAGCTCATGTTATGACTATTCGTACAGTTACCAGTTAGCAGAGGAAGTCTAATTTTTAATTATTTCAATTAATTTATCGCAAAGAGAACTTAGAACTATCTCGGCGATTAAGAGCTGTTCTTTTGGAGGCTGGAAAGGGAAGGACACTTGAGCAGGTTAGAAGAAGAAGAAGAGATTGGATTTATACCCCGCCTTCACTACCCGAAGGAGTCTCAGAGCGGCTTACAAGCTCCTTTCCCTTCCCCTCCCCACAACAGATACCCTGTGAGGCAGGAGGGCTGAGAGAGCTCTGACAGAAACTGCTCTTTTTCAAAAACAGCTGTGCCAGAACTATGGCTTGCCCAAGGTCATCCAGCAAGTGCAAGTGGAGGAGTGGGGAATCAAACCCGGTTCTCTCAGATTAGAGTCCGCACACTTACCCACCACACCAAACTGGCTCTGTTTGGAGTCAGACAAGAGCGCTCTCCCTGGCCCTTGACTACATGACTGTACAGTCCCAGGCAGAGAATAAAAACCTGGGAGAGCCTGAGAACCCATAAACAGCACGTGTGGGCAGCATTTTACAGACCACGCGGGCTTGCTTCATATCTCAGCACCAGTGCATCCTTTAAGCTGAGTTAGTGTGAACTAGCTCACAGTTTTTTAGCTTCTGGCTGACATATTTTTGTCTTAGCTCAGGAAGGATGGCTCCAGAGCAAACTAATTCATGCAGCAGCCAAATTGCTCACTCACAACTTTAATGCCAGCTGCTCGCAAAGTAGCATTTTTGCTCACAAAATGCCACAGCTTAGAGGGAGCACTGTTTAGCACCTGCGCTCACACAGGGGTGCACCATTTTCAAATGCAAACAAATACATATGATGTAAGCGCAACCTTGCAAGGTTCAGACAGTTCGTCTGCAACATCTACAGCATCCCAAGAATGACAGATTTCCCCCCGCTCAAAATGAAGAGGCGTTTGCTGTTACACACCTCCGAACGTGCAGAACATGTAACTGCTGGCTACAGCTGCTAATGAATGAGAACTTTTAACACATTTACCTCTTGGGTAGATCTGCAGGGGCACCACTAACTGGCCGTTTACCTGCTGCTCCATCACTGTGGTGTAATACTGCAAAAAAGAGATGAGAGAAAGACAGAGATGACCCAGCAACCTACACAGGCCCACGACAATGTTTGTATCACTTTCACAATTCACAAATGCTAGAGAAGCCACATCACTCGTGGCACACACAATAAATAAAGTTATACTATTTCTTGTTGTTGTTCAGTCGCACAGTTGAGTCCGACTCTTCGCGACCCCATGGACCAGATCCCGCCAGGCCTTCCTGTCTTCCGCCGTCCTCTGAAGTTGGCTCAGTTTCATGTTCGTTGCATCTATGACACTGTCCAACCATCTCATCCTTTGCCGTCCCCGTCTTCTTTGACCTTCAATCTTTCCCAGCATCAGGGTCTTCTCCAGTGAGTGCTCCCTTCTCATTGGGTGGCCAAAGTATTTGAGCTTCAGTTCCATTATCTGGCCTTCCAGGGAACAGTCAGGGTGGATTTCTGCTCCCAAGGAGCAGGCGTCTTTTAATTTCATGGCTGCTGTCACAGTCTGCGGTGATCTTGGGTTGTATCAAAAAGGCCATAGCATCGGAATCGCAGGAGGTCATAGCCCCTCTGTGTACTGCCTTGGTCAGGCCACACCTGAAGCACTTCAAAAAGGATGTGGGAAGATTCGAGAGAGGTGCAGAAGAGAGCGAGGAGGAGGATCCGGGGTCTGGAGGCCGAGCAGGCATCTTTTAATTTCATGGCTGATGTCACAGTCTGCGGTGATCTGGGATCCCAGGAACCGTTGTCATCTTAGTTGAATGCAGACTATTCCTTTTTTTTAAAGTAGAGGGCCTTTGAACACAGGGGACTGGTCCATATTTTGGAAGAAGAAGAAGAAGAAGACGACAAAGATGACGACATTGGATTTAAACCTCACCCTTCACTACCCGAAGGAGTCTCAGAGCGGCTTACAGTCTCCTTTCCCTTCCCCTCCCCACAACAGACACCCTGTGAGGCAGGTGGGGCTGAGAGAACTTTCGAGAACTGCTCCTGAGAGGACTTGTGACTGACCCAAGGTCACACCAGCAGCTGCATGTGGAGGAGGAGGGAGGAATCCAACTCGGTTCTCCCAGATTAGACTCTGGGCTCCTAACCACCAAACCAAACTGGCTCTCTACCCAACAGATATCTATAATTTCTTCCCACTTCACCTCTGTGGTCAGCAGCATTCCAGTTTTGCTGGCAGGGAGCTCAATGACGGCCACTAGATTTTAGAAAAAAGGATTACGCAAAGGACTGCTGTCTATGAATACTGGCTAGTCGTGACAGCGGCCCCAGGGCAGAAAGGCAGGATGTAAATATTGTGAAACAAATAAAACAATTCCAGTTGGGCAGCTGTGTTGGTCTGTAGTAAAAGACCAAGATTCGAGTCCAGTAGCCGCTTAAAGACAAGCAAGATCTCCCGGGCAGTGTTCCCTCTAAGCTGAGTTAGTGTGAGCTAGCTCATTTTTTTTAGCCTCTGGCTCACGCATTTATGTCTAAGCTCAGGAAGGATGGCTCCAGAGCAAACTGATTGATGCAGTAGCCAAATCTCTCGCTCACAACTTTAATGCCGGTAGCTCACAAAGTAGAATTTTTGCTCATGAGACTCCACAGCTTAGAGGGAACATTGCTCCCGGGTATAAGCTTTCAAAGGGGGAAGGCCCTGCAAAGAGCAGGGAGGTGTTTAAATGCCTCCACGTGCCTTTCCCGCAGAGAGCCCCCCCCCCACCTTCCCTGGCCCGCCTGCCACCCTCCTTGGCCCACCCTGGCATGCGTCTGTCAGGCAGAAGCACCTGAGATCCTCCCCCCCCCCCCGCCCCGCTCTCGGCCCGGCTTGGAGACAAAGGAAAGGGAGAGGGGGAAAGGAACAGAACTCAGGTGCTTCTGACTGTCAGAGGGGCTGGCGGGCTGGCCCCTCTGTCAGGCAGAAGTGCCTGAAATCCTTTCCCCTCCCCCCTTTTCCTTTGCCCGGCTTGGAGGTGAGGGAAGGGAGACGTCAGGGGGTGTGGCTTATGCTAATGAGCTCTGCTAATGAGCTCCTGCACCTCTTGTTCTAGGAAATGACCCCTGGGCATATCAGTAACTGTTCAGCCTTGCTGCAGACTATACCGGTACACTCCTCTGGCACTAGCCTGAAGGACAGATAAATGCAGGACAGGTCCATCAGTGGCTACTAGCCATGGTGAGTAAAGAGAACCTCCATATCCAGAGGCAGTCAACCTCGGAACACCAGTGCCAGGAGTGAACATCAGGGGAAGGCCTAAGACTCTGTGTCCTGTTTGCTGGCTCCCCAGGGGAACTGTTTGGCCGCTGTGTGAGACGGGATGCTGGACTGGATGGACTTTCACTGATCTGATCCAGCAGGGCTCTTCTGATGTTCTTCTCAGGGAAAGGCCTCAGCCTCCACTCCCGGTTGTTGGCCATCCAGAGGAATACGATGCTGGATGAGATGGACCACTGGGCTGATCCAGCAGGGCTCTTCTGGTGTTCTTATAAAGGCCTCGGCCTCTTTGCCCTGTAGTTGGCCCTCCAGGGGAACTGGTTGGCCACTGTGTGAGACAGGATGGTGGGGCTAGAGGGACCCTCACTGGTCTGCTCCAGCAGGACTCTTTGGATGTTGTTCTCAGGGGAAGGCCTCAGCCTCTATGCCCTGCTGTTGGCCCTTAAGAAGAACTGGCTGGCCACTGTGTGAGACAGGAGGCTGGACTAGATGGACTTTCACTGGTCTGATCCAGCAGGGCTCTTCTGATGTCCTTATCAGCGGAAGGCCTCGGCCTCTATGCCCTATTGTTGCTCTTCTTAGGTTCTTAACGTAGGGAAGCCTCTCCTTGCTATCAGACGTGCACTCTTAAGGCCCCATACCAGTTTCCAGGCCACAACTCCCATTTGTTCCACTGGGGCTTACGCCAGAGAGGTTCCCAGTAGATTTTGTCCTTTGTTGCTTTACATCCACCCACACACCCACCCACAAACACACACACACAAAGGAACTCATGTGGCCTTCTCCATTACTCAAACAGAGATGACAAGTAAATGAAATATCCATCATGTCAGCTGTCAACCTTTTGGGACAGCAATAACTGTTAACAAGTAGTCTGGAAAAATTGTCCAAAAAATGATTTGTCCTCCGCATATGAGCACTTCAGGTTGCCATGGAAAGTTAAGATGCCAGTGGCTATTTGGAACATGGCTCAGGTATTCTTTTTAATGGAAAATTTGCCAGTTATTGATCCAAAACGTGTACCCCCTTCCCCCCCCCAAAAAAAATGGCTGCAAGCAACTTTCCCTTCAGTGGCTGTCAAAAAAATTACTGCCTTTTTATACCGAGAGAAGCCCACGGTGGCGGAGGGGGTCCGGCTGTCTCTTTGCGCCTCGCTCTTAATTAACCACGAGGCACCATCGGAAATTCATTCCCATTATCTTGCTGCAGGATTTCCAAAATGAGTGATTTTTTAAAAAAATCCGTGTGTCCTGGCAAAGCACACTTATTACAACGTGACTTTCAAAACGGCTGGCGGCAAGATTTTTCGAAACCGATACCCTCCGAAGGTATGAAGGTCAAATGAAAAACTGACCCACAAAAGCCTTCTCCAGAGTTAGCCTCCGTTAGTTCATTTATTTTTCAGTTAAAAACTAACCCTCGCTTTCACCTGTCTAGAGCGGGGCAGTTTCCAACCTTTTTGAGCCTGTGGGCACCTTTAGGATTTTGACACGGCACTGTGAGGGCAGCCACAAAATGGCTGCTGCGGAAGGCGGGCCCAGCCACAAAATGGCTGCTGTATCTTACCTTCGGTCTCTTAGTGAAGATCCTCACAATGGCATCAAAAACTATGCAAATTATACATCATGGCGAAGCTCGCAAACAATCTGGATACTGTGACTAGGCCTTCTAAACACTCCTAAGGTAAAGGTAAAGGTTTCCCTTGCTCGAAAGCCAGTCGGATCCAACTCTAGGGGGCGGTACTCATCTCCGTTTCCAAGCCGAAGAGCCAGCGCTGTCTGAAGACATCTCCGTGGTCATGTGGCCGGCATGACTAGACACCGCGGCGCACGGAACGCTGCTCCCTTCCCACCGAAGCGGTACCTATTTATCTCCTTGCAATTTCTTGCTTTCAAACTGCTAGGTTGGCAGGAGCTGGGGCCAGAGACGGGAGCTCACTCCATCACGCGGCACTCAGGTCTCGAACGGCTGAACTACCGACCTTCCAGTCGGCAGTTCAGCATCTTAACCACTGAGCCAAACACTCCTACTTTTCCTCGATGTGGTTTCCTATACTTGAATATTTGATGTCTCAAAATGAAATTCCTCAATTAGTGGTCGACCTTGGATTAGGACGAACTTTATGGCTTAACTATTGTATGGTCAGCTATTCTTTACTAACAGTTCAGTTATACTGGCTCTTGTTCGTTTATCCAATGAACTGTCTTTGCATTACATCTATGTTCTGATCTACAGATTGTATTCGTCTTGCTCAGATTTACTGTGCTCTAGATGTATTGTTATTTGTTAATTTTTAATAAGCTGTTAATTACAAAAAAACCTGGCACGGCCAATCTAATCTTCAGTGGCCCAGCAGAAGCCTTGCTGGGCAATAAGCCCCACCCACTTTCTGGAAACACTTGGGAGGACACCAGGGAAGGTGGTTGGCGGGCACCGTGAAACACATGGTCTCCGTGTTGGGGACCCCTGTTCTAGACATCGCTACAGCCAGGGGTCATTTCCTGCGGGAGCGCACAGGAGCGGAGCTCCGGCAGTCAGGAGCCCAGGGGGCGGGGCACATGCAACAAGCCCCGCCCCCTGCTCCCAGCAGCCCTCAGTTGGGCCACGAGGAGCAAGAAGCAGCCAGGTAAGTTGCAGAGCCCCCCCGGCCTGCCTTCAGGTACAAGCTCTCCCTCCTCTGTGAGGGCAGATTTATTATTATTTATTAGTTTGATTTATTAGTTTGATTTATATCCCGCCCTCCCAAAGGCTCAGGGCGGCTCACATGCGGCAAAGCCGAGTGCAAAATATAATACAACATACAATAAATACAACGTTTTAAATCACAATAAAACCTTCCAATGGTACGGTGCTATACCTATATTAATCCTCCAAGATGGGAACAACCCCCCCAAGATATGGTGGCCAGCTGTCTCAGTAGCGTGGTCTCCCACTATGCTGTCTCGAACTTCTGCTTGGGCCCGCTTGCCCCCGTTTTTATAGGGCAGCCGATGACTTGCCACCTCGATGGTAGAATAGTGGCAGCGGTGGATCCTACTCGAACGCCTGGCGGAAGAGCTCTGTCTTGCAGGCCCTGCAGAACTGCATAAGGTCCCACAGGGCCCGGATCTCCTCTGGACGTTTCCCTCCCCCCCAATAGCTAGCAACCCAAAACAGTCCAGTGGCACCTTTAAGACCAAGTTTTATTCAGGTACAAGCTCTCCCTCCTCTGCCAGGACACATCTGCATGTTCCCCCCCCTCAATAGCTAGCCATCCAAAACAGTCCAGTAGAGCCTGAGCGGTGGGTGTTGCCTTCTGACACACTTCCGGTGATGTCAGGGGGTGTGGCATATGCAAATAAGTTATGCTAATGAGCTCCTGCACTTCTTTTTCTACTAAATGACCCCTGTCTACAGCGTCACTCTTGGAAATGTTTTCCCCGACCCTGTGGACGCTCCAGAAAAATGCCCTACGCTTCTCAAACTGCTCACAGGATGCCCTCTTACCGGGTGCCCTTTGCATCACACGGCTCAGGCCTGAACGACATGCGGCCCAAGATGTGGAACGCAGCACGTGCCGCGACCATGTCCTGCTATAGTGCTTGATGGGATCCACAGCTTCAGCTGTCATCCGCTGTTTGATGGGCATGGGGATTGAACCGAGCACATGTTTATCCTGCCCTTTCTCCAAGGAACTCACGGCACTACGCATGGCTCTCCTCCTCCATGCGCTGGTCTCAAGAAGCCTGGGGGTAGAGGCTGGGCAGATTCATGGCGGAGAGGTCCCTCGAGGGCTCCTAGGCATGGTGAGATGAGGCAAGGTCCAGATTCAGAGACAGCAAACCTCTGAACCCCAGTGCCAGGAGGCAACAGCAGGGAAAGCCCTCGGCCTTTATGGCCTATTTGTTGGTCCTCCAGGAAGACTGGCTTGGCTGCTGGTTGAGACGGGAGGCTCACCTTCACTGGTCTGATCCAGCAGGGCTCTTCTGATGTTCTCATCAGGGAAGGCCTTGGCCTCTGTGCCCTGTTGTTGGCCCTCCGGAGGAACTGGCTGGCCACTGTGTGAGACAGGACGCTGGACTAGGTGGACCCTCACTGGTCTGATCCAGCAGGGCTCTTCTGATGTTCTCATCAGGGAAGGCCTCAGCCTCTCTGCCCTGTTGTTGACCCTCCAGAGGAACTGGCTGGCCACTGTGTGAGATGGGATGCTGGACTAGATGGACCCTCACTGGTCTGATCCAGCAGGGCTCTTCTGATGTTCTCATCAGGGAAGGCCTCGGCCTCTATGTCCTATTGTTGGCCCTCCAGGGGAACTGGCTGGCCACTGTGTGAGAGGGGATGCTGGTCTAGGTGGACCTTCAGTGGTCTGATCCAGCAGGGCTCTTCTGATGTTCTTATGAAGGCCTCAGCCTCTACAGCCTGTTGTTTGGCCATCCAGGACCACAGGTTGGCTGCTGGACTAAATGGACCAGTGGTCTGATCCAGCAGGGCTCTTCTGATGGACTGGATGGGTCACTGGTCTCCAATGCAGCTGGGCTGTTCTTATGTGAGGCCGGGAGTGTTTGAGCAGTCTGATACGCGTCATGGCAGAGTGGGGACTCAAAGGCAGGTATCCACAGTCCTATTTCAGCACTCTTCACCACTGCCCTATGCTGGTTCTCTGATACGGGTCCTTCCACATGCAACGCTTGCATTCCACAAACCTATTTCCCTGGTTTCCGATAAGGGTTCGATGCACAGTGTGAACGTGCTGGCAGCTAAGGAACACCACTCCAAGGCCCTCCTGGAGGCAAAGAACTATTGGCATTTTTGCGTCCACCGCCCAACACAGAGTTCCTGTATGCATAAGCTTTCCCTTTTATTGCAATGGCAAAGGCAGTTCCGTGGGAGAAGGAGATGGGAAACTAATCAAAGGAGAGCCGCTTGAAAGAGGGAACTGGGATGCACGGCCCGATGCCCCAGAAGCCAAGAGGCTGGGCTGACGGGACCTATTAGGAAACGCGGACCTGCTACGCAGAGGAACTGTCAGCCACTACCTCCCTCTAAAAGAAAACATAGAGAAAAATAATATTATGTTACTGTGTTTCGCTGGCAAGCGAATGCTAACGGCCACCCTCGCGTTCATTTATAAAAATACGGAGGACAATTCATTTATAAAGTTACATACAAGTCGTTGTGATTCAATAAGTAGCCCGGTTTTCATGTTTTTATAGTTATTAAAAAAAAGACAATGCATCTTTAAATCTTTCCCAGCACGCCGAGCCTGCAGCGAAAATATAACTCTTCCGAGAGGAGGGGTGAAAAGCCTCTGATAAAAGCAGATTTTGTGTCTTTTTAAAAAATATATTTTAGAGCCAAGGGGTTCCTTTTTAATGAGCCGTTACTTTAAGTACTGCATAAAAAAATACAAGAAATTGATAGTCCATTTAGCTTGCCTATACCCAATGCAAAAGTCATTAGGATGCATTACTCTTAATGTTCATACATATGATCTGTAAGTGTACACGTCTTCGAAAAAAAGAAAAAAGAGAGGGTACATTTCAAACTTTTATGCACAATTCCAACCACGCTTTCAGCTGAGATTATACTGTAGGAGGAAACTCGAGTTCCGAAGCCTACTTTTCACCAGCTGGATTGAACCAGAAAGAGAACCCAAAAAAATGCAGATTACGAAGACCCCCAGAAAGGTTTCTCCCCAAGGCCCACTGAAATGACCGCCCCCATTCCGCAACTCTCCCGTTCAGTGCAAAGAGTTTTCTGAGTAATCTCAGTCTGATTTGTCACAGGCTCTACCTACGTAAGACAGCATCGCCTTCATTTCTTCATCGCTTCGAACAGTAATCCGATCACCGTCCTCATCCTCATCTGGAAGAGAGAAGGGTGGGTGGGAAGGGCACGTTGAAAGTTCTTAATTTATGGGACAAAAACCCAAAGAATACCCACAGAGAGAATGGAAGCCTCATGCACAGATGCCGCACAGCGGTTGGACGTCTAGCAATCAGAAATATGCGGTGCAGGAATCTGAAATATGGACGCCAGCAGACAGAAAGATATTTCGGATGCGCATAAGCATCAAGCTGCTATTCCGCTGAACAGGACACAAAAAAACCCTCCTGAAGTACACCACAGCAACTGCATATGGAGGACAGGATTCAAATGAATTCTTAGCAATAAAAAGATGCACAATTTGCACCGGGGGGGGGGGGGGCGGAACGCTTAGTTGAGAGGGGGGGGGGGGGGGAGATCACGCTACAGCCATTAGTGGCTACAAGTTAGACATGGCAGAAAACATTAGGGGGAGATTACTGACTATCAAAACAATTCAGCACTGGGATAATTTGCTTGGGAGAGCGGGGCGATCTCGCCTTCCTTAAGGCCGTCCGAAGAGAGCCGACAAAGGCAAGCGGTGCTGATGGCTGTCGTCTCTGCTTTGCCCACGGTTCAATCCCAGTTTAATTCCTGGAGCTGAATCCAGACTAAATGGGCAGTTTCCTCTTCATGCCGCAGACATTCCCCATTTTGTTCTTCGGGGTCTCCTATCCCGCAGGGCCACCGTTTGTTGGGGAACAGTAGACCACCGTGGGAGGGAGGAGGCACAGAAGTTCTGTTCTGCTGGTGGAAAATTTACTATGGATTCAGCCCCTGCTGTGCCGGGAGGAAAGAATTTACCCAAGCTCCTGCATTCGGACGTCATTTCAAACTGAATAGTTCCAGATGGTCAGCCACGTTGATGTGAACAAATTTAGAGCCCAGCGGCACCTTTAAGACCAACAAAGGTTTATTTAAGGTATGAGCTTTCGTGCGCATGCACACGATTTGCATTTGAAAAAGTCTGGTGTCGTGGTTAAGTGCACGGACTCTAATCTGGGAGAACCGGGTTTGATTCCCCGCTCCTCCACTTGCAGCTGCTGGTGTGACCTTGGACAAGCCATAGTTCTGTCAGAGCTGTTCTCTCAAGAGCCGTTTCTGTAAGAGCTCTCTCAGCCCCACCTACCTCACAGGGTGCCTGTGGCAGGGAGGAGAAGGGGAAGGAATTTGTAAGCTGCTCTGAGACTCCGAGTGAAGGGCGGGGTATAAATCCAATCTCTTCTTCTTCTTCAAGAGCAGTTTGTGTCAGAGCTCTCTCAGCCCCACCTGCCTCACAGGGTGTCTGTTGTGGGGAGGGGAAGGGAAAGGAGTTTGCAAGCCGCTCTGAGACTCCGAGTGAACGGCGGGGGGATAAATCCAATCTCTTCTTCTTCACACGAAAGCTCATCCCTTGAATAAACCTTTCTTGGTCTTAAAGGTGCCGCTGGACTCCTCTAAATTTGCTCTATTTCAAACAGGAGCGTGACAACTTTTCAAAGCTACATCATTTTGGGGATTGCAACACAGGCATCGGCATTGGCAACAGGCATCAATTTGTCAGTCACATGTGATGGAAGGCTTCTCAAACTAGGACACTTTAAATCATATTTCACACATGAGGGGGAAAAGGTGGGAGCAGAGCCACACAGCGAACAGAATGCTGCCCTGGAGGAGTGATTGGGTCTTCATCCTGTCACTCCGCAACACTATTCCTCTCCCTTCGGGTCAGTTCCTTGCATCTTCATCTATCTCCCGCTTTTATCCCCAAAGAGGACAAAGAGTGGCTTTACATCATTCTCCTCACCTCCATTTTTCTCCACAGGAGGAGGAGGAGGAGGAGATTGGATTTTCACCCCGCCCTTCACTACCTGAAGGAGTCTCAGAGCGGCTTACAAACTCCTTTCCCTTCCCCTCCCCACAACAGACAGACACCCTGTGAGGTAGGCGGGGCTGAGAGAGCTCTTGACAGAAACTGCTCTTTTTTCAAAAACAGCTCTGACAGGACTATGGCTTGCCCAAGGTCATCCAGCAGGTGCGAGTGGAGGAGTGGGGAATCAAACCCGGTTCTCCCAGATTAGAGTCCACACACTTAACCACTACACCAAACTGGCTCTGAGAAAAGATTGGATTTATACCCCGCCCTTCACTACCCAAAGGAGTCTCAGAGAGGCTTACAAACTCCTTTCCCTTCCCCTCCCCACAACAGACACCCTGGGAGGTAGGTGGGGCTGAGAGAGCTCTGACAGGAACTGCTCTTTTTCAAGGACAGCTCTTATCAGAACTACAGCTTGCCCGAGGTCATCCAGCAGCTGCAAGTGGAGGAGTGGGGGAATCAAACCCAGGTCTCCCAGGTTAGAGTCCGCGCACTTCACCACTACACCAAACTGGCTCTCACTACACCAAACTGGCCTCACAGAACAACCCTGTGAGGTAGGTCAGGCAGAGAGTAAACGACTGGCCCATGGTCGTCCAGTGACCTTCCACGGCGGAGTGGAGAGATCAACCTGGATCTCCCAGATTTCAGCCTGATGCTCCAACCACGACACCATACTGGTGATGTCGTGAGAATAGCAACCGCCATGAGAACGCCAGATGGGGGAAAAGAATGGGCGTCTTTTTGAAAAAGAGATGCCTTGAAAGCCTATTTGGAGGCGACGGCCCCAATTTGTAGCAGCTGAGAAGCTTGCCAAGGCAACTGAGAAAGTGCTGCCTCATGGCTGTAGCAGGAGAAAAGAGCAAGAGTCCAGGAGCACCATAAAGACTAACAGAATTTGTGGCAGGGCAAGAGCTTTCGTGAGTCACTGCTCAACAAGGGAGCAGTGACTCCCCAAAGCTCACAACCTGACACAAATTGTGTTAATCCGCCCTGAGCTCGCGTAGCGGGGAGGGCGGGGTATAAATTGAAACAAACAAATAAATAAATAAATCTCTATGGAAAGCACCTCATTTTGCCATACAGAATGGAAATCCACCAACCTTGTGATATAAGGACAGACGGACTCCCATTCTAGCTGCATCTGAAGAAGTGAGCAGTGGACCAGTGTTCCCTGTAAGCTGAGTTAGTGTGAGCTAGCTCACAGTTTTTTAGCCTCTGGCTCACGCATTTTTGTCTCAGCTCAGGAAGGACGGCTTCAGAGCGATGCTCCCTCTAAACTGTAGAGTCTTGTGTGCAAAAAATTCTACTTTGTGAGCTACCGGCATTAAAGTTGTGAGTGAGCGATACGGCTAGTGCATAAATTAGCTCGCTCTGGAGCCCTCCTTCCTGAGCGAAGACAAAATGTGTGAGCCAGAGTCTAAAAAACTGTGAGCTAGCTCACACTAACTCAGCTTACAGGGAACACTGCTCCAGAGCATACTAATTTATGCAGGAGCCAAATCGCTTGCTCACAACTTTAATGCTAGTAGCTCACAAAGTAGAATTTTTGCTCACAAGGCTCCACAGCTTAGAGGGCGCCTTGGCAGTGACTGACGAAAGCTCCTCCCCTGCCCTAAATTGTGTTTAGGTGCTCCTGGACTCTTGCTCTTTTCGTACCTGAAGAAATGAGTGGTGACTCAGGAAAGCTCCTCCCCTGCCCTAAATTGTGTTTAGGTGCTCCTGGACTCTTGCTCTTTTCGTACCTGAAGAAATGAGTGGTGACTCAGGAAAGCTCCTCCCCTGCCCTAAATTGTGTTTAGGTGCTCCTGGACTCTTGCTCTTTTCGTACCTGAAGAAATGAGTGGTGACTCAGGAAAGCTCCTCCCCTGCCCTAAATTGTGTTTAGGTGCTCCTGGACTCTTGCTCTTTTCGTACCTGAAGAAATGAGTGGTGACTCAGGAAAGCTCCTCCCCTGCCCTAAATTGTGTTTAGGTGCTCCTGGACTCTTGCTCTTTTCGTACCTGAAGAAATGAGTGGTGACTCAGGAAAGCTCCTCCCCTGCCCTAAATTGTGTTTAGGTGCTCCTGGACTCTTGCTCTTTTCGTACCTGAAGAAATGAGTGGTGACTCAGGAAAGCTCCTCCCCTGCCCTAAATTGTGTTTAGGTGCTCCTGGACTCTTGCTCTTTTCGTACCTGAAGAAATGAGTGGTGACTCAGGAAAGCTCCTCCCCTGCCCTAAATTGTGTTTAGGTGCTCCTGGACTCTTGCTCTTTTCTTCTGCTACAGACAGACTAACACAGGTACCCACCTCGATCTATCTTCATGTCTGCAGATAGGTAGCAATCCTGAGAAGGCCCAATGCTCCCTCTAATTTTTTTCCCTAGTGAGCGGAGCATTTCACATCCTGAGCAGAACAGAACTGCTGTAATTTCACAATGGGCAACGGACAACGCAAGGCCCTGCGCGGCTCTAGACTGCTGTTGAGCGGGGCTTCCTGCGTTCATGAGCAGCTGCTCACACACACATACACACAGCTTAGAGGGAGCACTGTGAGCAGGTCTACTCCTAACCCTAACTCAGGTCTATTCAATGAGGCTTACTCCCAGGAAAGCGTTCCTAGGATCGCTCTTGACTCCTTGGAGGTATCAGGTGAAACAGAATGTCCTGTTCTTACTGTACAAATAAGACAGACGGCTTACTGATATTAAAAGTAGAATGATAAAAGGGTTGGAACACTTTCCCTATGAAGAAAGGTTAAAGCGTTTGGAGATCTTTAGCTTGGAGAAACGACGGATGGGGGGTGACATGATTGAGGTTTATAAGATTATGCATGGGATAGAGCAGGTAGAGAAAGAGGTACTTTTCTCCTTTTCTCACAATACAAGAACTCCTTGTGGGCACTCCATGAAATTGCTGAGCCGTCGGGTTAGAACGGATAAACGGAAGTACTTCTCCACCCAAAGAGTGATTAACACATGGAATTCACTGCCACAGGAGGGGGTGGCGGCTACAAGCATGGGCAGCTTCAAGGGGGAATTGGATAAACATCTGGAGCAGAGGTTCATCGTGGCTATTAGCCACAAGGTATAGACAGGAACTCTCAGTCTGGGGCAAGTTTTTGGCCACTGTGCGACAGAGTGTTAGACTGGATGGGCCATTGGCCTGATCCAACATTGGCTTATCTTATGTTCTTATGCTATTAAAAGAAGGCAGGTCTATACAGATTGGCATAATTTGCTATTTGATAAGAGGGAAATGCTCCTCCCAAGATGCTGTTTACACCCCCCCCCCAAACAGATACTGTATCTGTCAGATTTAGTAGGAAGATACTTTACCACCCCCTTCAAAAAGTATCCTGGAATCTCCCTTGAAACGATTCCAGGCTACGCAGAGGTTCAAAGGTCATACACCGAGACCCTCTGCTTGCCTAGAGCGCATCTGTGATCTTGCAGCCCATTAGGGAGGCGAACGTAGAAAGTAAAGCGAAATAAAGCCCGGATTTGTGCTAATGTCACATCCTCGCAAGACACCAAATAGAAGGCGGCAGATGGCAGGCAAATCTTTGGGAGCAATCTCGGCAAAAGACACAGCGTGTCACGCGCGCGCACAACGGCAGCGTTTGGATAAAAGGGCAATAATGAGCCATATGTTGTTAGCCATTTTATCTGCAGCAACACGGCATGCGACAGCGACGGGCCCCATAACAGGTCCGACGGCAAGGGGGAACGGCGGCCCCAGGTAGAAGGAGCCACGGAAGACACAGTGGAGAAAGCAATAACTAAACAGACAGGAGAGGAGACGGCTGTCGGTGGCAATTAGCGGCCTCCGAGAAAGCCATCAAGGCGCTGCGAAGACGGGTGAGCCGGCAACGTCCCGGCCTTCAGCACAAAGAGGATAACCCAGAAACCAGGCGGCACCGATACTCGTGACATATTTTTGATGCCACTTAAATGGCAGGGGAAACGGTGTCGTGCCGATGCAGAACGACAGGCTGAAGGCGGAAAGTGGAGAACGCAGCGGCAGATGCTAGAGAGGGGCCGTGAAATCCATATTTTTCCCAGGCAGGTTCTGCCCACGGCACCAGGGATATAGGTTACCGCTCCGATCAGGATGCCGGCAAACGGAGTTCGGCAGAGGTTGGCGTGGGAGGGAGGGAGGCAGAAAACACGCGGTTTGATCTCACATCCGATCTTGGAAGCTAAGCAGGCTCGGCCCTGGTTAGGACTTGGGAGGGAGGCCACCCAGGAAGCCCAGGGCTGCGCTGCAGGGGCAGGCCACGGCAAACCACCCCTGAACATCTCTTGCACTGGAAGCACCATGAGGGGTCACCATAAGTCGGTTGCAACTCGGCGGTGGCACTGTGGCTTGACCAAGCCTCAGGTCTTCCACCAGTGAAGAGAGCCAGTTTGGTGTAGTGGTTAAGTGTGCGGACTCTAATCTGGGAGAACCGGGTTTGATTCCCCACTCCTCCACTTGCACCTTGGGCAAGCCGTAGCTCTGGTCAGAGCTGCCCTTGAAAAAGAGCAGTTTGTGTCCGAGCTCTCTCAGCCCCACCCGCCTCACAGGGTGTCTGTTGTGGGGAGGGGAACGGAAGGGAGTTTGTGAGCCGCTCTGAGACTCCTTTGGGCAGTGAAGGGTGGGGTATAAATCCAATCTCCTCCTCCTTCTCCTCCTTCTGAGAGCCAGTTTGGTGTAGTGGTTAATTGCGTGGACTCTAATCTGGGAGAACCGGGTTTGATTCCCCACTCCACCACTTGCACCTGCTGATGTGACCTTGGGTCAGTCACAAGCTCTGGCACAGCTGTCTTTGAAAAAGAGCAGTTTGTGTCAGAATTCTCTCAGCCCCACCTACCTCGCAGGGTGTCTGTTGTCGGGAGGGGAGGGGAAAGGAGTTTGTAAGCCGCTCTGAGATTCCAAGTGAAGGGCGGGGTATAAATCCAATCTCTTTTCTTCTTTCTTCTTCTTTCTTCTTCCTTCTTCTTCTTCCTTCTTCCTTCTTCTCCTCCTCCTCCTTCTTCTTCTGTGGTTTCCTCTCAGCCCAGCTCTCCTCCCCCCCAAGTAAAAACCTCCTCCTCTGCGGCAATATAATGTTTAGAGTCTACATATGCAATAAACAAAAGGAATCTGTACAACAGCCCTGTGAGGAAGGACAGTCCTGCTTTCCCCATGTTACATGGAGGAAGAGAAGGGAGTTGCTTGCTTAAGACCAGCCACTGAATTCATAGCTGAGTCGCATGCAGCTATTACACCTGGGAACGCAGCTCACAGCTGACGCTCTTAACCACAACGCCACCTCCAGTCCTGCCATGGGGAATTTGCTTTTTTGGGCTGACTTGCCCACAGGTATTCTTGCACTAACAGCGTGGTGTTTGCACGTGGCCAAGGGCGATGCGTGTGCCTGTGCGTGTCTAAATGCTTCTGCTTTTTCTAGAGGAAATGTCATTGCAAGATTAGCCCTCTGTTGCCACGTTGATGTAACGCCCCGTGCTTTGTAATTCCACTCTTCTAAAAGCTGCCGATTCCTGCTTTTAATAATAGAAGCATCTGAAAATTAAAATCTCAGCCTACAAAGCCTCCAGGTACTTTATACTTTTCATTTAATTTGAGCAATATAATTGCAGCGCATACGAAGAGCACTGTAAGGTCACGCTGGTAATTAAAGCTATATTGTAGAAATATGCGCTCTCAAGATGTGATTAAATAATAAAATATTACTTAGCTCAGGATCGTCATTAAACTTGCATCCGTGTATAAATATTTAACTGTAACGTATCTGAACATAAACAATATGTAGTTGTCATTTTTTTTAAATAAATAATGCCGGCACAAAGCCCTCTTCTCCAGACGAGCCATACTCACATTCGAAAGCTGTCGTCGTCGCATCGGGCAGAACCTGGCTGATCACATCCTGTGGGGGAGAAAGAACGGAGGTCCAGTGAATCGTGTTCCTTACTCAAGTCTTTCCACATCGTCATTCATAAGCAGTTGCTTTTACTAGCAGGTTATTTGTCTATTCATCCACAAGTAAGAAAGCGGGCGGGCAAACCCAAAAGCAAGTCCGTTTCAGTATTTTTCTTCTTTTGGACAAGATCCGAATTCCCTTGCAGACATTTCAAGATTCAAATCTGAATGTACAGCACACCGACTACCAGGATGATATCTGCGTTCCCAGTATATTCACCTCACCTACCTGGGCTCCAAAGCGCCACACGGCCAGTGTGTGAGAGCCACTTTGGTGTAGTACAAGTGTGTCGAACTCATTTGTTATGAGGGCCGGATCTGACATATATGAGACCTTGTTGGGCCGGGCCATGTGTGCCATAAAATGTAATGCCGGGTAGCAGAGATATAAACTTTATAAAGGACTTATTTTGTTTATTGAACCATGTCTGATAACGGACACCTCTTGCTCTGAATTATTGCATCAAAATGTCTGTGCCGTTGCAATTTTGAGTATGCTGTTCAGGTGTGTGTATCTGTAAGCTGAAAACCTACTTTATAAAGGACAATATTTTGTTTATTGAACCGTGTCTGATAACGGACACCTCTTGCTCTGAATTATTGCATCAAAATGTCTGTGCCGTTGCAATTTTGAGTATGCTGTTCAGGTGTGTGTATCTGTAAGCTGAAAACCTACGATGACGCAGCAGCAGCAGAACTGGAAGAAGAAGCAGAAGACAGCCAGTTCCACTGCAGGCCTGACAGAAGCCCTCTGGGGGCCTGATCCGGCCCCCGGGCCGCATCTTTGACACCCCTGGTGTAGTGGGTAGAAGGGCAGACTAGGATCCTGGGTGAGCTGGGTTCAGACACCAACGTATGCCGTGCAAGTCTGCTAGGTGACGTTGGACCTGTCACAAACTCTCAACCTGGCCTACCTTCGCAGGGTTGTTGTTGCAGGAAAACGGAGGAAGGGAGACCGATGTTCTAAAAGCCTTTTTGAGTCCCAACTGGGGAGAAAAGTGGGATATCAATAAATAAATAAATGCCCATGCATTGCTTAGGCGGCTTAAACCCCACCGAATTCAACAGAGCGCTAGCGACTCTACTAACGGGTCGGGACTTTCACCAGTCAGCTGTAACCACTGGTTTTTAAATGTTTATACTGTGTTTTTAAACTTTATTGTAACTGTTGAAATATATGATGTGACCCGCCCTGAGCCCGCTTGCAGGATGGGCGGGATACAAACACGAAAAACAAACAAATAAATAAATAAATGTATCTCCAGGGCTGCAGTTTTATTATGATTGTTACTGTGTGCTTTTCTTATCGATATCCCCCTCATTGGACGCCAAAGCGGCTTGTCACACCATTCTCTCCTCTTCTGCTTTATCCTGGCAACAACACCCTTGCGAGGTAGGTTAGGCTGAGAGACAGTGACAGGCCCAAGGTGAGCTTCCGTGGCAGAGCGGGGATTCAAATCCAGCTGTTCCCGGTCCCGGTTCAACACTCTAACCACAATGCCACACCGACTCTCCTGTTGCTGCCCCCCCCCCCACAAATTCCTATTGCCTTCCCAGCCTGCTTCGTGCATCTGGCGAAGCAGTCAGTTAAAGATGAACCACAAACAATGTGCAAACACAAAGAGGAAAGAAATAACGTACTGATTTTACTGCAGGTCCTCAAATGCACCTACCTCTCCAAACACATGCAGTCCTACACCCATGTTGATTTATTCTGTATCTTTTGGTTTGCTTGTTTGGGGGGGGGGTGCATAGGTGTTTTTGTATGTGCACCTGGAAGACCTTTAGTGACTGACCCTTCCTGGCTGGAGGATATTCAGGGAAGTGGCTGCATAAAGCCTGCCCCTGCCTCCCGCCTCTGGTATTCCAAGGAGGTCTCCCATCCAAGTACGTGGCAGAGCTGACCCTGCCTAGCTTCCGAGAACTGACAAGATTGGGCTCGCCTGGGTTACCCAGGTCAGGGCTATTCTGTACCTTACATAAGAGAAGCCAAATGCTGGATCAGGCCAGTGGCCCATCCAGTCCAACACTCTGTGTCACACAGTGGCCAAAAATACCAGGTAAATATGGACAAACATGACCCAATCAGAAAACAAGTATAAAGACAACAGTCGTGAGAGTCTGACCCACAAATCAAGCAGTCACCAAGACTTGCAAAGAAAAAGCTTCCTATGTATTATAATCTAAAGCACCACAACATCATCAATAAATCATAAGAAAATCCTTGTGCATAAGGTACATAATCAACGTCGTCCCCAGATTATATAACAACGTTTCAAAATCTCCTCAGGAGATATTAGAGTAGTACAAAAGCTCTCTGCATTCATGAAGAGCTTGACAACAAGTCATAAGGAATACTACATTCAGATAGGACGCTGATCTCAATAAATGTTCAGGCTCAAATATGCTGCTGAGCTTCTAAATGGATCTTCAAAAATACCAGGTGCCATCAGGAGGTCCAGCACTGGGGCCAGGACACTAGAAGCCCTCCCACTGTTGCCCCCCCAAGCACCAAGAAGACAGAGCATCCCTTGCCCCAGACTGAGAGTTCCTATAAGAACGTAAGAGAAGCCAAGGTTGGATCAGGCCAGTGGCCCATCCAGTCCAACACTCTGTGTCACACAGTGGCCAAAAGTACCAGGTGCCATCAGGAGGTCCAGCAGTGGGGCCAGGACACTAGAAGCCCTCCCACTGTTGCCCCCCCCTCCAAGCACCAAGAAGACAGAGCATCACTTGCCCCAGACTGAGAGTTCCTATAAGAACATAAGAGAAGCCAAGGTTGGATCAGGCCAGTGGCCCATCCAGTCCAACACTCTGTGTCACACAGGGGCCAGAAATACCAGGGGCCATCAGGAGGTCCAGCAGTGGGGTCAGGACATTAGAAGCCCTCCCACTGTTGCCCCCCCTCCAAGCACCAAGAATACAGAGCATCACTTGCCCCAGACTGAGAGTTCCTATAAGAACATAAGAGAAGCCAAGGTTGGATCAGGCCAGTGGCCCATCCAGTCCAACACTCTGTGTCACACAGTGGCCAGAAATACCAGGTGCCATCAGGAGGTCCAGCAGTGGGGCCAGGACACCAGAAGCCCTCCCACTGTTGCCCCCCCCCTACAAGCACCAAAAATACAGAGCATCCCTTGCCCCAGACGGAGAGTTCCTATCTATATTTTGTGGCTAGCAGCTACTGAGGGACCTCTGCTCCATAGGTTTATCTAATTCCCTCTTAAATAGATACCTGCAGCGGGAACTATGGCGGTTACCCTTTGCATCTTCCCCCCACCCAATAACTATTCCTTACTCCCATCACACAGCCAGCAAGAGGGTACAGAGGAGACTGTCTTGGAAGAGGGCATTGTGGAAGTAAAAATGAACCAGGGTGTAGAGACGTTTGAATGGTGAAGTCATGTAGGAGAGGTTGGAGGTGCTGTGACTGCACAAATGCAGAAGAGAAAGTGACCTCGAAACGAGAACCAACTGGTCTGGGTCAATCCATGCTAGCGGCAGAGATACGAAGAAGTCAGTTTCACTGGAAAATTCCATGTTTACATTTTCCTGGTGCATGCTTATCTGGGGGACTATAAACGTACTTGGGAGAGGTAAACCCACCCACCCCTGAGATTCTGCTTTTACTGTCTCCTGAGATAGAAAAATTTAAAAAACAACAACCCGGGATCACAGTGTATAACACAGAAAATACAACAAACAAACACTGTGATATGCTGACAAACACATTTAGCAAAACATTTTGCAATCAACATATACGAAGTACATCCTTATGGTACTGCAAAAAAGGGTAGGAACTGGGCCTATCTATAGTAACTTTACAGGACATTTGGAGACTTAATTTGCATGCCTCATCAGGGGGATGGACTCTTTTTTGTAATACCCTAAGGATGCACTTCTTTATAATGCGATAGAAGATTGCAAAATGTTTGACTAAATATGTTCGCCAGCATATATGTCGACGGCAAAATGTTTGACTAAATGTGTTCGCCAGCATATATGTCGATGGCAAAATGTTTGACTAAATGTGTTTGCCAGCATATCACAGTGTGTGTTTGTTGTATTTTCTGTCTCCTGAGGTAGTACAATAAAGAACAGCTTTGGAAATTATTTTTTGTGCCTCTGCTCGACAGCACTCTTTTCCCACAGTGCTTGTCTGCTCTAGAACTACCCGCATCATGTCTTCCAAGCACCCCCACAAATACAGAACCTTTCCGTAGCCCCGTAGTGCTGAAATTGATGCTTGTCAAGAGGGAACAGGGACATATCCAGCAGTAACGGAGAGGGAAATTCAAATATGAATACACGAGGAGCTACCTCCCTGGGTTTTTTTAATCGATGTGGGGCTCTGTCAGACGTTTCTCAAAATCCATGCCACCATTTGCCATAGAAGCAGTCAGTCGTCAATTCCACAGGGGAAATAAAACCTTTGGTGCTTTTAAAATTCATGTGAAACTGATGCAACACTGGCAAGGATTTTTATCTCGAGATCTTTCTTTGGGAAACAGCTCAGATCCACACTGTGCTATGAATAATAAATTATCTCAGGTACAGTGCAAAACACACACAAACAGAATCAGTGTGTGTATACATAGGTGCGTGTGGAGGAAGACTCTGTCCTTTCCCCCAGCACTTTGCGGTCTTGATTACAGGTATAAAAGCATGGTGAAAACGCATTCAGAAATTGCTAATCCAAATTAGCCATCCTCTACGTATCACGCCAAAGATGCTGTACTCCAGAGTTTGACAGATCCCAGGTGCCAGGTCAACACAGTACCTAGAAATGTTATTACGGTCCCTTGTATTTTCACTAGTGTCTCTTGGCATTTCTCAGTGTAAGCAGAAAGCTTATTTATCATTTTGTGTCAAGATGTTTGGTTTCATAACACTAAAATAAATGATCATAAAGTCCTTATCATTGCTTGTTTATCTGTAAACA